AAAAAAAAAAAAAAAAAAAACACCACCAAAAAAACCCATAATAAAATTGCCACCACCAAAACCATCAGTGGAATACAATTACAGCAGACGAAAAATACACAACTAGTGTACCGGGAGGGACCCCCCTTCAACGCTATTTACTAGTCCGGTATTTACACTTTTCACAAGTCTTATGCAAGGCTGCACAAAACAAAACAAAACCAAAAAAAAAAAGTCACGATAAAAAAAGGAGTCCTTTATAGTGCCACCAAAGCGCAGACGGAAAGAACCGGGAAACCAAAAAAAAAAAATTAAAAAAAAAAAATTAAAAAAAAAAAATCAAAAGAAACCCCACGACCCTAAAAACCAAAGAAACATCCGTTTAAGGGCTCCAACGTGTGCCAGAGTCGCAGATCTCCAAATAAATCCGTGTGTGGCGGACGCCGGGCAGAGCCCCCTCGGAGCGGGCACGGTCCCTGGGCCACCCCGTGGCATCCCCCGCTGCTTCCCGAGTCCTGCGGGGCCGGGAGCTGCCAGCCCTCCCAGAAACTCCACGCTCAGTAGATGACCTCGTAGACTGTGGCCTTCTTGTCACCAGAGCCCGTGACGATGTACTTGTCATCCGCTGAAATGTCACAACTTAAGACGGACGAGGATTCCTTGGACTGGGAGAAGGAGGAGGAGGAGGAGGGGAGAGCATCCGTCAGCTGGGTTTCCCTGGCTCGCCAAGCGCCATTCCACGCTGGTGGCATCACCACGTCCCACAGGCTGGGCACCCACCCAGCCACCCCAAGAGGATCCTCCCTCTCTCCGGGGCTGGCAGCCCCAGGCATTGTGCCAAGATGGGGTCTGGGTGTAACTCCCATTCCTTGCCCTTCCCAAGAGGTTCCTACCTGGAAGATGCTCGCTCCGTAGGGCGTCCTCCAGGCGTTGAGCAGGTTGTCTTTCCCAGTGCTCACAAACCATTTCCCTGTTCCCAGGAAACACGGTGTCAGTAGTCACACAAACGCTGCCACTGCCACCCCTACAGACAGATCCCGGGGCCAACCTCTCCCTGCCCCACAGGATTCTGGCTGTTTGAATTAGAAAGTGGCCAATTTGGAGAAATGGAAAAATCTGGAGATTCCCCAGAGAGGCTCATCCAGCCCCTCTCCATTGGGACACATCCCAGCAGTCACACGGGGCAGGTGCTGCTTCCCTGCAACCTCCCACGATGCCACATGGCCATTGGTGACCACAGCTGGGGTGGTTTTATGGAGATACCCCCCAAATGCACCATCCACGGGATGTATCCTACTGGAAACACCCTTGTTCAGCCCCCCCCCCACTGTTCCACACACCACCCCTTCCTCGTGGGCATCCTTGTTTCCCATCCCTTGAAGTGTTCCAGGCTGGGCTGGACAGGGCTTGGAGCAACCTGGTCTGGTGGAAGGTGTCCCTGCCCACAGCAGGGGGTGGGAGTGGATGTTCATTAAGGTCCCTCCCAAGCCCAACCATTCCATGATCCCCACCCATTCCCAAAGGGACGGAGCTCCGGGCGGGAGCCGCTTACCGCAGTAGGCGAACTTGAGGGAGAGGACACAGCTCTCGTGGAGGTGCAGCTGGTACTTGTCGGGCTTGGTGTGGTGCAGCACCTCCACATTGCTGCTCTCCATGCCCACTGCCAGCCACTCGCCCGTCGGGCAGTACCCCAGGGAGAAGATCTGCAGCGGGAAGTGGGACACGGGGATGCTCAGGGGGGCTGCACTCGCCAGCTCTGCCCACAGCCCCCCAGGGAGGGCTGGAACTAGAGGGGCTTCAAGGTCCCTTCCAATCCAGCCACTCTGGGATCTATGGCAAGGGTGGAGGCTGCTGGGCAGCCCCAGACTGGTACAGCAGCTTTGGAGAGGCACATCCATGTGTCTGGAGCAGCCACATGAGCTGTGAATGAATGCCTGGATGGTTCCAGCCCCCTGGATGCTGCTGCACTTGCCAAATGGAATCGAGATTCCAGCTTTGCCCCTCTGGATCGGGGCCCTGGGAGGGTCTGCTGGAGGAGGCAAGATCCTGATCTCTGCAGCCACCCCACCCACAGGGCACCCACAGAAACCTGTTACATCCACAGCCATGGGAAGTGCTGCCTTCCTAACGGCAGCCTGACTGTGCAGGGATGGAGAAATGAGCACAGAGAAGCTGAAACCAGATCCAGGGAGCCCCACAGCTCCTACTGCCTCCAACACTTCTGGGTTCCACCAAACACACCAGGAACAGCCACGCTCAGGGCCAACAGGGCCATTTTCCCAGCAGGAAAAGCCCCCTCCCACAGCCCCACACGATCCAGCTGCCAAACGAGCTGCCCTGCTCCCCATGGAGGGATAAACCCCTCCGTGGGGTCTCTGCAGGGCAGGGCCAGGCTGTCCCCAGCCCGTTACCTGGGAGGTGAAGTCGTGTTGCTGGAGCTGCCGCCCTTCCCGCAGGTCCCAGGAACGCACCGTGTTGTCCAGGCCCCCCGTCCACAACTTCGTACCATCGTGGGAGATGTCTATGCAGCTGGCACCGTCTGTGTGGCCTTGGAATTGCCTTTGAACCAGAAAAAAATAAGGAAATCTGCACGGGGAACGCTAGGAAAAGCATGGAGGTCGGTTCAAGGTGCTCAGACGTCATTTGTGAGGCTTATCCACAGCAAACACGCCTGGAAATCCATCCAGGAGCATCCTTTGCTGAGGAGCTGCAGCATGAAGTGCACTGGGCTTGCTTAAAGGTGAGCACCACAAGATGGATGGTGCAGCACCAAGAGAGCGTTCCTGCCATCATTCCATATCAACCGTGGCTGCCCCTGGATCCCTGGAAGTGTCCAAGGCCAGGCTGGACGGGGCTTGGAGCAACCTGGGCTAGTGGAAGGTGTCCCTGCCCACAGCAGGGGAGTGCACCGAGATGAGCTTTAAGGTCCCTCCCAACCCAAACCATTCCAGGATCTCCAAGTTCCTCCCAGCAGAGCACACCCAGGAAGGCCCCGAGCCCGAGCAGAGCCCGCTCACCTGACGAGGGTCTGGTTGTGCAGGTCCCACACGGCGATGTTGCCGTCGCTGCAGCAGGAGAAGCAGACTTTGGCGTCGGGGCTGATGGCCAGGGCGTAGCAGGCGGGGGCCGAGGAGGTGAGCTCGGCCTTGATGCGGGGCGTGGGCGACGCCAGGTCCCAGATGGTCAGCGTGCTGGCCTCGCCCCCCACGATCAGCGTGCGGCCGTCCGGGAGCAGCTTGCAGGAGCGGATGTAGTTATCCCTGTTCTGGGGGGGAAAGGGTGAGGTCACGGGGGGGACGGGGAGCAGGATGGGGGCAGAGGGGAAAAGGAAAGAGATGTTAATGGGGAAGAGGAAAGGTACGTTAAAGGGGGTGAGGAGGACAAGGGAGGGCGAGAAGAAAAGAGGAAAAAGAGACGGTGATAGGGAGAAGAGGAAAGGGAGGATGACAGGGGAAGAGGAAAAGAGGAGAAAAGAGGAAAAGAGACATTAAGGGGGAAGAGGAAAAGAGATGTTAAAGGGGGAAGAGGAAAAGATGTTAAAGGGGGAAGAGGAA